AGTTCTCGCCGTCGATAATCTGAAAGGCTACATTCGTCATCTCACGATAGAAAACTACTTTTTAATTATGACGCAGAGATTAGATCGTGACCGTAGATTAACGGTGTCGTTCGCTATGAATGGACATCTGCCACGTCACTAATTTACTATTACACGGCGTCGTATTAAAAGCTCATTAGCAAAACGGAACACATTTTAGTACTAATCCAAGGTTTGATTAAACTCGGACCTTATTACATCTAATTTACAACAGCGAGAAGGTTTTCTACTTTTTTGTGGAAAGCAAAAACACGTAAAACCTAGTTCTATTATATATAAATTAGACAAGTAAAAGAGGTCAAACTGGACCGAGAGAAAAAACATAAGCACCTCATGAGCTTTTTTTACCAAACTAAAGATCCTAACGCATAGCAAGTGTAGCCGAACCACGGTTCACAAGATTTACTTCCAAGTACTCTTTCCATGCCTTTAAAGGCTGGATTTTACCAAAGTTTGCAGATTCGATCCTATTATTATAATCGTTCACAAACAACCCTCTAGCTGCAAAACCCATGATCTCCGTAGAGTCCATGAATTTCTTAATCTTCATGCTGATTCCTCCTTCGGATGAGAATCCCTTTTTGGGGATTTGACGATCCAAACAATTGGAGACATCGTGATCATCGGATTGGGAATTTTGCTTATAAGTAATAGTTGATGATTCTTCAGAGAATTGTGCTCCCATCCCAAACGAGTCCCAATCGACTGTGTGAAAGATCTCAGTAGCACGATCCGAGGGTGTTTTGGAGTTGTGTGACATCAAAGCTTGTTGTTCCATAGATACTCTATCGACTTGTACCTTTAATTCATATAGCCTTTGTCCAATTCTTGAAGATACAGCGTCATACAATTGTTTCCTTGAAACGTGTTTGGCTCCTTCAATCCCGAGAAGGTCATTAAAAGGAATCGGATCTCCAATGATCACCGTCACCTGCAAAATGTTTTTGGCATTAATTTATAGTTAAAAACTGCAAATACAAGATGCAATGTAATAGCCCAAAGACATACTCATCATTGGAGACAGTGAACTCTAAACTCAAAATTACTTTGCTACTTGTATTTGAACTCTAAACTCAAATTACTAACAGGTTCATCCTCTCTATCAAGAGACTATTGGTTTTCTTATTTTGGGCGAGTAGAGCTCATGATACATCAAACTATTAAGCGACTGATGCCTAAAACCGAAGAGGGAAAAAATGGAAATTCAAAGATACTCACTGTCTTGCCAATCCGTGGAACACTGGCTCCAACTGGCATTATATCTTGCATACCAGTATGCACAAATGGAACAACCATAGGGAGGGTATCTGCGTCCAAAATCAACCTGCAAACGAAATCAATTACATTTTTAGATCCTTTGTGATAGAGCAGAGTGATAGACACGCATTCACGTACACAATACTCACCTCCCAATACCTCTCTTTGCTGAGCCCATAGTCTTTCCACCATCCCGGGAACGACTGCCTTCAGGAAAGATGTGAACCCACCCTCCACTGTTCAGTTTCGAAATCGCAATGTCCATACCCTGCATAATAGTTACGAACATGAATCCATAGCACATGTACAGAAGGAATAAAACTTGTTTCCATCAGTGAATTTGAATTTTAGGTAAAATAAGGAGGTAACAATCAGAAAAGCTAGTTTACCAAGAAAAAATTAAGAAAAGCTAGGCTATACAAAGCAGCCTGGTGTTACCTGCTGATAAATCCCTTCACCGCGAGAAACTGGTAAAACTTTGACAGATCGAAAGAAAGCTGAAGTTACAGGGTTTTTAAAGCATCTATCTGTAGCACAGAGCGTCCACCTCAAATTACGGGCATCAAGTAAAAGTTTAGGCGGAAGTAACGAAGCAATGACAAATGGATCATCCACAGATGCGACATGATTGCTAACCTGAAGATTATTTTCGAAGTTTACGGGTAAGGATATAACATCTGAAAGCCCAACCACAAACATACAACATTTCAGAACATAAGTAACCTCATACCGTTACAAGAGGCTTGTTCTTTGGTCTGTTGAGCAAAGCATCATGCAATTTCTCCAAACCATACACCTAGACAGGTAAACACGATAAGAACAGGGAACATGACTACATATAAGAATGTAGTTTATAGAACAGTAATCTAAGATGTCACACCTGAACACGGTTGAAACCATTCATGAAAACATGACAAGCATTTCCAATAAGGGGAACAGCCACAGCTTGAAGCATCCGGAAGAGAGCAGACTCTTCTTCTGCTGCCAAATCTTTAGAAACTGCATTGACACAGAACCAATGTATATAGCAAAGAAACAATCCCGAGTCGTTTAAGCAGCTTAAGAAGACAACCAAAACTATCGCCAAAAGTACTAAAACAAACCCTTCTAAGACAAACTTAAAGGTGATGCAAAACTAAGAAAATAATCCAACTAATCAATGTTGAACAAGCAATGCTATTAGGCTCATCCACACCAATAAGCTAAACCAATCGTCTCAAAATGTATATTCCTACTCAACAATCTCTCAAGGAACCACCAAAACAACTAAGATCGAAGTTTGGATCACAAAGCTA